GACGCGCAGCCGGGGAGGCCCCGGAGCTCGGGCGGCGGCGGAATATATAAATGAATAAATGCACCGCCCAAGCCGGCGGCGGAATATAAATGAATAAATGCACCGCCCAAGCCGGAGCTCCCGATCGCCAATCCGCCCGCAGCAAGTTTGTTCAACTCGAAAGGCTGTAACCAGAGCCAGGGAAAGGGGGGTGGGGCGCTGAGGCCCCGCTCCCTGAAGACTGGAAAAAGGAGGTTAGTGAAGCGAGGGATTCACGCCCGGCGGCCCGACGTTTCCCCCGTGGCCTGGACCCAGAGTGTTTCACCACGTCTGCCGCTTTGTCGTTTGTCAACACGTACTTCAGCTCTTTTCTAAATTCGCGCTTGCGGGGTGCGGTGGGGGAGGGCGGCATTCATGCCGGTGCAGAAAGGGCTCTTTGTTCACACACCGATTGGCTAATATCGCTCTGGGGGGATTATTTACAATTTCAAGCGACGTCTGGCATATTTTACCAAAAACTGCAGGATATTAAGTGCTGGGGTTCTTAGTGCCGTGGTTTTAAACAAGTTATGCATGAGGTGTTCGACGCGTTTACAAGCTGAGTGTTAGTTTTCTTGGAGATTTTTCCCCCCACCACACATTATGGCTACGTATTTCATAATAGACCCTGGACCAACTGCAAAAATAATGTTCATGCTAATGCAAGGATACTTTAGATTCCTTCCTGAAAACGCACTGTAGCAAAGGGTATGAATGTCTCTAAAGGGCCTCACACTGCGGACCTCGGTGCAAATGAACACTGGAATCACTAATACCAAGAAGGGCCAGAGGTTACGCGGGGCTCAGCTTTCCATAAACATGAACATTCTTACAAGTGCTCTGTGTTGAAAGAGTTCTTGTTTATCCCTTTATTCATGTATTTCGCCCTACTTTAAAATTTTGCTGCTGCTTTTCTCAACAGAGCTATTTTGAGGGTATGAAGTAGGAAGTACTGAGTAGAGCAGTAAGAAGACCAGGGTAAGAGGCCTTTGGGACGATGGGCCCTTGTTGCTCCCATGAAAAGAGTGTAATAGCATCTTATGCTCAGATAAGGCATGGTAGGAGGCATTCTTTCTGTAGTCACTGATTTTTTTTTTAATTTAATTTCCCTTTGTACTTAGTATAATTTATCTTTTAGTCTCCAGAACCTAAGCCATCCTATAATATTTAAGTACAAGAAAACCTTTTCTCTTGGGTCAATAGAAAACATATTTTCTCGTAGCCCTTTCCAGTGACCAAAGGTCAAAATCAATGACACATAATGGATGCATGGATAAATAAAAATGTGATATATACATACAATGACATATTAGCCTCAAAAACAAGGAAATTCTGTCATATGTTAAAACGTGAATTAATCTTTAAGGCATTTTAGTAAGTGAAATTAGCCAATCACAAAAGAACCAAATACTGAATTTTCCCACTTATATGAGATAGTTTGAGGTAGTCACACTCTTAGAAACAGTGGTCACTAAGGACTGGAGAGAGGGGGAAGGGAGGAGTTGTTTGTTCAGTGAGTATAGTTTCAGTTGCAAGATGAAAAAGTTCTAGAGATCTGTTGCAAACAAGAGGCATATAGTTAACACTACTGTAATGTACAGTTGAAAATGGTGAGGATGCTAAATTTTCTTGTGTTTTTACCACAATACCAAAAAGAGGGAGAGAGATACTGGGAAGTGGCAGGAAGGGAGACAGGATGCATTTCCCCTCAGTTATTATGTGAGCCAGTCCTGTGCTGAGTAGGCATGGGAGCTGCTAAGATACATAAGACTCAGTCTTTACCCTTGAGAAGCTAAGTCTACTACTAATGGTCACTATATTGTGAATATTAATGCACCCAATTCTTTTGAAAACATACTGGTTTCTTAAATAATTCTAATACAGGCTAATGAATCTAGTAATAGAAGTGGAACTACAAGAGTAAAGTCCAGTGAACATTAAGCAGAGATCTGTGTCTTCTGTATCATTAGAGCAAGTTCATAGAGAAGTAAACGTTGTCTTAGGTCTTAAAAAAAGAAGAGGAGATTTGGAGGAAGAGGAGGCTGGAAGGGAAGGAGTACTGGACATCATGTGCAAATCCCATGCAAAGGTCTGAAAACATGGGAGATCGGGACTTGTTCTGGCAACAAGAGCTGAAATGAGTGCTGTCCAGCAGATTCCTTTATTACAGCAGGTCGAAAAGAGAGTGGTAGAGACCTCCCAAGAGATTTCCAAAGGCAAACCTGGTGATGTTCAAGTTATAGATCGGGAATCCCTACCCCAACCTCTGAATGTATGACAAAGCCTGGCTAGATGCTAACCAAAACCCATTTTCTCTTCCAGGACCCATAGCTAAACCATATTTACCAAAGTTTTTGCATGTAGGTAGGATCATACGATTAGTTCTCACCAGTGGAACATAATCCCTGCTGAGCAGTTAAGAGAAGGTGTGCCTTCTGCACTCTCTTTTATCTTTCTATCTACCAACTGGATGAAACTAGGTCAACCTTGACACCAAATGTTTGAATTTGTTGGTCCGCAGTGTGGAAGAAGCTTGAGTCCCTAAATGACCATTCACAGTAAAGCCTCCTCACAGCATGCATTGTACTGGAAGATGAATGAGAAAACATATATATATTTATTGAGTTAAACCAGACATTTTGGGGTCAATTATTACGGCAGTTAGTGCTAATTATCTTGGTTAATATACTATAACAGATGATCCATTTCCTGATATCTTAATGATTTTTTTCATTATTATCTTAAAACATTTTTATAGTTATTTCCCTTTTATTTACAACTATATGCCTGGTGCATGAAATTCGTGCACTTGGGGGGGGTGGTTCTTCAGCCCGGCTGGGGTTCCACAAGTAAGTGCTGGTCTCTGGCAGCGTGGCTTATTTGGTTGGATGTCATCTGGGTTGTGGGCTGCCAGCCGATTTTTATAGTTATTTCCCTTTTATTTACAACTATATGCCTGGTGCATGAAATTCATGCACTTGGTGGGGGGGTGGGGGGTTCTTCAGCCCGGCCGGGGCTCCACAATGGATCGCCCCTGCAGAGGGAGGCCCCCCAACTGATCGATCGCCCACTGGTCGGTTGCCTGGGCCTCCCTCTGCAGGGCGATCATGGGGCAATGGCCAGGCCCCTGACCAATCGCATCGCCCCTGCCTTGGCTGCCTGGCACCAGTGGGTGTCAGAGTATGGTCATCTGGATGGCCATTCCCCTGTTTGTTCAATTTGCATATTATGCTTTTATTATTATAGATTTTTATTTGGTTTATATATCTGTAGTTTCCCTCATTAATAGCAATAAATGCTTTTTAACCAGGGTGTAACAAATTGGATTATCATATGTTCTCCAAACTCAAGGTCACTGGGGAACACACAGGAAGTACCTCCAGCCCAAACAACATGTTTTCCGATTTTGTTGGGTGAAATGTCACCATTTTATATTCATTTTGATAGATGTCCGTATCCTCAGATTAAAGGTAGCCACAAATGAATGTAAGGAACATGGGAGGTAACTCTGAACTATTATTGGTCCCCAGCTCATGAATATTAATATTCCAACCTTTAAAAAACATGCTGGTTCCTTAATGCCTAAAGAGGAAGCAAGTGTTAGTAAGGGCAGGTCTGAGGAAGGAAGCCTGTCATAAGAGTTTTCCTACTGTGTTTCAAAAAAACTAGATTTCCATGGAGGAATCTTCAAATCCACCTGAAGAGGTGAGGGAGAAAAATGCGTAGAGGGGTCTGAGCCCCTACTGCTCCCACATCAAAGTCCTATTGCCATCTATTTTTTTAATGTTAGAGTTTCATGTTCATTTTTATTAAAAATAGGGCTTTCTAATGTTACAAATATAAGACTGCTTATCTAGAGCAAGGGTCTCCAAAATGGGGTGCAGAAGATGACCCCTTGAACTTCTATTTACAAGCATATATTTGTGTGTGTGTGTGTGCGTATGTGTCTGTAACCAAAAGAGGGAAAGAAACTAAATATTACTAATATTTAATATGAGGCTTGGCGTGTGTGTGTGTGTGTGTGTGTATGTGTGTGTAACCAAAAGAGGGAAAGAAACTAAATTTTACTAATATTTAATATGAGGCTTGGCACTGGCTGGCACTGCTACTTGATCTGTAAGTGGGCAAGCACTAGGTGTTCTTGGGAGTGGGTGGGAGCACAGCACAAGGTGGGGGACAGAGGGCTCTCTCCTTTGTTGATTGTCAACATATTGCCACATGTTGCAGCTTTTGTATCTAAGCGGATTTATGGATGATATTTAAGTAAACTAACTGTTACAGCATGGACCAATGGAGATAATATTAATAATGCAATAATAGACAAAGACAATTGGCTAAGCTAACATTTCTGACACCCTTTGGGAGCCATATTGGGTGGTGGAAAACTAATGACTAATCAGATCTGACAATAAGTTGGCCACAATAATTGAAACATTGGTTCGGGTATGAATTTGCATCTTACTTTTGCTAACATGAACTTCACTCTAAGTGTGTAGTATAGTTAATAGATAACGATATGCTGAACTGATCACAATTAGGTAGCCATTTAAAAAATAGGCATCCAGACATGAAGATAAAACTCAACAATATTTGCAGGATATTAAAGTAAATTACTATTCAAACTGATACTCTAAAGAAAACTCACCAATTATAAATGCTATAAAGCCTCTTCTGAACTTTCTTTAAAAAAAGGAAAGTCAAAAAGCAGCATACAATTGGGAAAATAGTTTTCTGCTTTCCAAGATAAAAATGGCTGAAATATACACGGGACACAAATGGAACAAAACAACAACTGCATTCCTTGGACAGCAAACACCTTGAGAATATGGATATAAAATACTGCTCAAGACCCAAAGACATAGGTATTGGAACAGGGTACACAGTGTGGGAAATTTATGATAAGGTTAAACCGAAGGCACAGGCCGTTTTAATATATATAGATCTCTTGTTATGGTTTTAACAGATTCTGTTTCAGTGTGGTGCTTATTAGATTGTGTTTTAATAGCAAAATACATTTTAAAATAACATTTTTGGTGAGCCATTAAAGGAAAGTGATAGTTGAGAGGATATTCTTTGTCTAGTATATCTTTCAATGATATTTTTAAAAACAATTGACTTAAAAAACAAACAAACAAAAAAACTGTTGTATGTAAAACATGTATAAGTGTAACCACTGATGGATTAGTTGTTTAGACTAAAAAAAAATATTTTTACA